AAATTTCTTGAAGAAAGAAAGAAAGAAAGAAAGAAAGAAAGAAAGAAAGAAAGAAAGAAAGAAAGAAAGAAAGAAAGAAAGAAAGAAAAATACATGTTGGTTTGAAAGATATGGGGGAACTAAAAAGTGTACACACCGCTGTTTAAAAGTCAGCTTTTGATATGTAAAAATGAATTTCTGATTTTATTGTGACAACTATTTTTTGTGAACCACCCGATAAAGAACAAAATCTGTTTGGGATATGATATGGGAAAAAAACTCACTTATATAAATGAAAAAAATGTGAAACAAGTTTTGTTAAAGCACCTTTTAAATCTACAAAAAACTATATATATATATAGCCCAATTAAACTGTAAAGAAACTTAAAATACAGAAGTTAATTTTGACATGCAGAGGATGACCTGTACTTACAAACAATTCTTACAGCTGTGTCAGCATTGCTGCCAGCTTCTTCTGTGCTTTGCTGACCAGTGTCAGTTTTCAATTATGGAGAGGATCCTAAACTAGATCAGCTTAACTTTGTTCCAGTTAAATCTAAATAATTAAATAGAATCCCATATACAAACTACAGAAGGCTGAAAACCTAAAAGTAGTTGAACATTCTGCACAGCTACTCAACCTGGTTATTTCAGCCTTTTTTTGTTAGACTGCTACACTTTTCCATCTAACAGTTTTTCTTCTTTTTCAGTTGAGCTGCAAAAGATACGTGTCACATTGAGGTAGAGAATCTGTTTAAGGAATTTATCATTCTTTTTTTCAAAGTGGAAAAACCTGGCATTTTAACCAGCGATGTGCTGCCTTTTGAGATCCTCTATATGCTGCAGCCGTTTCATGTTGAGGTGTGCCTTTTTGCTCTTAAAGGCTTCTGATAGGCTGGAAGAACTGACTGCATATGAGTTGCTTTACTCTTATTGTTGCATATTAAAGTTCACTGACTTAGATCTGCCATGGTCTCATCTTGGATGGTAACCACAGCTCTCATCTGGCTTTTAATTTGTCACATAGGGTAGCTAGAATATAGTGAGATACTTCACAGTTAGGGCATATAAACACTGCTGGATATTCAAACTGTTTTATATAGATTATAAACCGGCTACAGGAAGCTTTGGATTTGATAGCTTTATACAAGAAGATATTCAGCATTTGCTTTCACATTGTTTCAGTAGCTTTATCTGATCTGCTGTATTAATTTCTAGGGTAAAACTGCCAGAGCAAAATCCACAACAAATATCTCTGATCTCAGATGTCAGTTGGCTCTAAGTCCCAGTAATTTCCCTACCATTTGACTTCATTCTTAGTCTTTTGAAAATCCTAAGACCTGAAAAGTGCCATCTAAGTGTCAGTTTTTCTGTTTTTTTGTTTTGTTTTTTTGTTGTTTTTTTTCTTTTCTTTCACTGTTTGAATTGAATTTCAAAACTGGAAAGCATTTCAGTCTGGAAGCGTTTCATGACTGTGATGACATGCAAATGTTTTTAATGACCTTGGACACTGTAGCCACTCTTATCACCAATCCCACACTGTCATCACAGCTCTGATAGCATTAGGTTATGATACATATGCATTTTTTTACAGTGTATGTATAATTTGCTGAAATAAAAGCTATATTGACCAATTCTCTGTTGTCAAGGAAGTTACTTGGGCATGAATAGATGCGACAGACAGGCATTGTCTCCTCGTGACAGACGTCTCTGTTCCTCCTCAGCTGTCTCTATTCCTCATTTTGAACCTTTTTTGGAAAAATACCAAGAACTTGCTGAGGTTTGTGGCCTCTGCAGAGAATTTTTTATTGTCAAAAGTTTGTAAAAACTAAGAAAAGACAGAAGTCAAACTATTTTGGACAAAAATGATGATGCAACATGCTAGTGGGTGAAATAGGCTGCATCACCTTAATACATTCAGAGGTATCAAGTAACAAAGTACAAATACTTTAATTATTTTTTAGACAACTTTTTACTTCTACTCCTTACATTTTAAAAATAGACTTGTTAGTTTTGTTTCATTTAAGCACATTTTCGCCTTGGCCTGTTGGCATTAAAATAAAAAATAATAATAATTTGTTTCCTCCAGACAATTAATTTCTTCAGAATTGGTGCTGCACCAACTTGTTCGGCAAAGATGATGCAAAGTTAAATTTTACACTGTTGCCATTAGTCATAAAACTAAGAAAATGAAGGCTGAGGAATTTATCCAGAATTGTAGAAAAATATTGCTTTAATAGGCTTCTGTCCGTACTTTTTTCCTGCATTACTTTTAATTTTTACTTTAAGTAGTTTTGAAACTGGTACTTTTACAAATTTACTGGAGTAAAAAGCTTAAGTCAATAATTTGTACAAAAGTGATTTTAAATACTAGGATTTATACTTCTACTTCAGTAATAAACATAAATTGTTTGACACCTCTGAATACATTTATACACAGATAAGAGTTGAAAATTAGATCAAAAGGCAACTCATCTTCTTAGTGGTACTTGAATCATATGCTAAAATCTGTAAACAGTGCAAAGTAACATGGTTGATAGAATAATTTGAATCACCATATTTGTGTTAATACATTTAATGTGTCTTCATTTATTCCAAGATAGACATAATGCATAAATATGTACTATATAACTCATTACAAATTATTAATAAAAATACTTTTCCATTTCTGCCTTTTCTCTGCTAATTTCTGTATCTCTGCNAACTTGCTGAGGTTTGTGGCCTCTGCAGAGGATTTTTTTATTGTCAAAAGTTTGTAAAAACTAAGAAAAGACAGAAGTCAAACTATTTTAGACAAAAATGATTATGCAACATGCTAATGGGTGAAATAGGCTGGTGGGTATAGTAGCTAAAATTTTACTGGAGAGTTGCATCACCTTAATACATTCAGAGGTACCAAGTAACAAAGTACAAATACTTTAATTATGTTTTAGACAACTTTTTACTTCTACTCCTTACATTTTAAAAATAGACTTGTTAGTTTTGTTTCATTTAAGCACATTTTCGCCTTGGCCTGTTGGCATTAAAATAAAAAATAATAATAATTTGTTTCCTCCAGACAATTAATTTCTTCAGAATTGGTGCTGCACCAACTTGTTCGGCAAAGATGATGCAAAGTTAAATTTTACACTGTTGCCATTAGTCATAAAACTAAGAAAATGAAGGCTGAGGAATTTATCCAGAATTGTAGAAAAATATTGCTTTAATAGGCTTCTGTCCGTACTTTTTTCCTGCATTACTTTTAATTTTTACTTTAAGTAGTTTTGAAACTGGTACTTTTACAAATTTACTGGAGTAAAAAGCTTAAGTCAATAATTTGTACAAAAGTGATTTTAAATACTAGGATTTATACTTCTACTTCAGTAATAAACATAAATTGTTTGACACCTCTGAATACATTTATACACAGATAAGAGTTGAAAATTAGATCAAAAGGCAACTCATCTTCTTAGTGGTACTTGAATCATATGCTAAAATCTGTAAACAGTGCAAAGTAACATGGTTGATAGAATAATTTTAATCACCATATTTGTGTAAATACATTTAATGTGTCTTCATTTATTCCAAGATAGACATAATGCATAAATATGTACTATATAACTCATTACAAATTATTAATAAAAATACTTTTCCATTTCTGCCTTTTCTCTGCTAATTTCTGTATCTCTGCATCTGTCTCCATGAACCCCTGTCAGCCTGAGCAGATGGCCGCTCACACTGAGCCTGGTTCTGCTGGAGGTTGCTCCCTGTTAAAAGGAAGTTTTTCTCTCCACTGTCGCTACAAGTATGCTTAGTGTGAGGGATTGCCTTCGAGTCAATGAGTCGATGCAATCAACTTGATTTCCTTAGATAGAAAACTTTGAGTCAGTTTGACTGTATGATCTGGTTCAATTGTCTCTATAAAGTGCCTTAAGATGGCATGTGTTGTTAATTGGCACTATATAAATAAATATAAATCAGTGACAACTGGAGGACTTATCTGCAGATTGCTCTTTGGTCTTGAGATTGAAAGTAAGATCCAATTGTAGAAACATGTATGTTAAAGTAATTGTTCGATGTGGTATATAAACCTTCAACGAGTCACTCTGTCTTTCTTAGAGTTCAAACATACCTGTTCTTCAATCGGGAAGTCAATGGTGGTGGATCATGTAGTGAGAAAAACACACTTGATTAAGATCAAGATTACTCAAAAAAAGATAGCCCTTAGAACGGAATTTTGTTTACTCAATTAGATCCAGTATTACCCAATCCTAGGAATATAAAATGACAGAGGAAATATAGAACACTGTTTTGTTTTTGTTTTTTTAGCAATTACAGCTTCAAGTCTTCAATCTCATTATCTTTTAGTCTCAGTCTGCTGAACAGAAAACATTTTAAATGCATCACTCCATTCCCACCCTGTCATTTTAGGTTGCTCATCTTGTATTAGTAGTCTAACAGTTGTATGTTTCTTCTACTTTTGGATGAAAAATGTAACATCTCTGTTCTTTATAATACTGTAATACTTTAATACTTTAATAATACTTTAAAACAAACCTCTAAGCTCTTCATGGAACAACTAGATTTACAAAAATCAGATTACACACATTTTTTTAAATTTATAAATGTACCTCCTTTTCACAATTATAGACCATTAGTCCAAACTTTGTGGGTATAACATACATAACATTTTTTTTTTAATTAACATGAAAACCTTAATGATGAAAGAAGTTGCAGAAAGTTGGCTATTTGCATGTGAGACAAACTTTGCAGCTTTGCATGGCAGAGCATTACTGCATTATGTACGAGAAGAAACAAGGTGAATTTTTCATGACACCCACATCATTCAGATAGGCATGCACAAAGCTCATTCAGGTGCACATCATCACATCTAGATGGAAAACAACCTCCAGAAAATGCATTTATTTGCTGTATCCAAGTGTAAGGAAATTGCTTGGGAGCTTTGCATAACACCCTGTATTGAGTGACGTGCAAGCACTCACACAATAGATGAACACATTTGCTAAGGTGCTTGCAGCAGGACCCGTCAGTGGAGCAGCAGATAAGGAACTCACTGAGTAAATATCAAATGTTTATGTTCACACACCTTTCCAGGCCTTTTATGTGCTGACCATAGAAAGGGAGATACCATCTCTGCGGCTCATTTCCAAACACTGAAGCCTGCAGCTGGGGACTGTTCAACAACAATAAAATGTGATCTGCCTGCAGATGAGGAGACGGACTGACTGAGAGCTGACGGGAAACACCTCAAATTGCAGGAAGCACTTTCCATGTACGGAAATCAGGTTTCTTTGGATAAGCAACTTTGCAGCCCAATGTCTTTTATCACTTTTCATGGCATGGGCAGACGCTCCTCCCCGAATTATTTTTTCCAGATTGAAATACAGGCAGTATGCGGGACCAATTGAAGCAGTTTTTTTCACAGGTTACATATCACATGTACTGCTGTCTGGACATAGGGACAGTTTTAGCCAATATGCCAAAAGATGATTTTTAAAAACTTACAGACTTCAGCTTTAATTAGAATTTGGAAATGATCCAGATCATGTGCGAATATTAACTATAGATTTAGGTCGCAGGTTGCGCGAACACTAAGAATTACGGTATCGATGCCTGAGATTGTTCCAAAATAAGAGCAGTGATTTTGATGTTTGAATATTGAGGTATATCTATACTTTTTCCTTTTTTACATATTTAACTTGACATCTCCAGATGTGACTGAATCTTGTTGCTGTGGAATCTCATGTTGAATTTCAAAATTGAAGCCCCTCAAATCTCTACGCTGGGTCACTTCAACTAAGTTGCCAACAATATTGCTGCTAAGTATAGCGAATTAAATAAACTTAACTTAAATCAAATTGACTTGTTTTAGAGATTTTAGGAGCTTTAATTTTGAAATTCCAAATCAGATATGGAGGAAACTTTGTGTGTCACACCAGGATGTGTTCTATTTTCCTTCAGAAGCTGGCATTCAATAAAAACAAATAGTTTAGCAGCAAGATTGAAAGCAATTTAAGAGAAATTTAGGTGTAGCAAATTAGGTATAGAGAATTTGCAGGCTTTAATTTATTTTGAAATTCCACATCAGGTGTGGATGAAACTCTGAGTCACATGTGGAGGTTTTTAACCATACCCATCCAGGTTGGATGCCATATTAATGTTGTGAATAACTGTATTCAGTTCCCAGCCAGCTGGGAATTCATATTTCCTGATACTTTAAGATGTTTATTGCCCTCCCTGATAGGGGTTGGTAAATATCTTATTTATTTAATTTTGGTCTTTTATATATTGTTTATGAACACATACCCTGCTAGCTGTGTGTTAGAGTAATTGAAAGAGTGATTCGAGCTCTAATCATGGTCAAACAGTTAATTCTGCACATACATGGAATAAATTCACCACAATTTCTGTTCAAAATATAAGAATTTATTAAGAAAAATCATTCAGCTCCAAGTCAAACATAATTCTGTTTAAAACTCTTAACCAAAACTAGTAAAACTCCACTAAACTAAACTACTATGTACAAAGAGGAAGGGGAAACATGGTTGAAACCATATTACAGTTAAAGATTGATTTTGTGTTTGAAAACTAAACATACGAAAGTTTATCTGGAAAAATTTGGGATATGATCAAATTAGCTTTTCACTAATTTAGAGAAGTTGGAATGTTTTCAGACCAATTCACAATGCAAATCCATGAAGTGAATAAAACATCATTTAGCCAAATAATGTTTTATAAAATGATTTGCCTAATTAGGAACCAATAACCTTTAGTAAAATTCTTTACTCTCTTTGAAATAGCTAGCAGAGAATGGACATGAGGATTCCATTAAAAGACCTTTGGTCATACTTTGAAATCAAAGTGTAATGAGCATCTGAGGAACACATGAACACTAATGTTAAATCAGTGTTTAAACCCTTAGTGAAATAAAGCTTGTCCAAGCTTCAACAACAGCTCAAAACATATTACTGTAGCATAGCGTAGAATGCAGTCCATCCTGTTAGCTTTGTCTTTACTCATCAGTAAACACATTAAATTATCACAATAATCAAAAGACATATTGTTTGTTCTGTCCCCAATTGTACCAGACCTGCAAACCTTTTGTTCATGTCCATTTGGAAGGCTTGAGTTTTCATCCAGCAGCAGCAGCTTAGTAGGCAGGCTCACAGCAACACAGGAGTTTTCTTCTCCATGTGGCACACCAAGGGATCCTTAGAAGACTTTTTCCTCCAGTCTGGCTCTGTAAGTTCTGAAACTCGAGAGAAATGTGTTGCAAAAAGTCTGTTTTGCAGCAGTTTGGTTCTGAAAGGACAAACATTATGACTTGATAATTATTTGGTCATCCTGGAGATCTGGGCCTTTTTGCTTGGCTGGAGCTCCTGATGTGGACCCCTGGCAGCTTCATGAGAAAGAGGGAATGAAATCCTCTGTGCTGTGGTTTTACTGATATCAACACAGAGGGGGGGAGTCACACCTGTGTGGGAGTTGCTGTGGAGGCAGTTGGCTGAAAAGGGGGGATTGCAGAGGTCTTCCAGCTGTTTATGAGCCAAAACTGCCTCCTCTTCTCTGGTCATCATGTCATGCTGAAATATGGACACTGGTTCCCAATGTCCAAAACCACGATCATGGCACATGGCACAACAACCATCATTTCAAAATGGAAGCTTTCACTAAAAACAATTTGTTTTGCAACAATAATGACAGCAACCATGGTCAAAGAGATTAGGTGCAGGGATTTTGTGGGGCTTTAATTTTGAATTTCCATGTAAGATGTGGATGAAACTTTGTGAGTCAAATCTGGATGACTTTTATGTTCCTTCAGAAGTGGAAGTATTCACTAAAACATAGTTTTAAAACAATATTATCAACTTAGGTCTAAGGGAATAAGTGTAGAGATTTTGTGGGGCTTTAATTTTTAAACTCTTTATGATTTAGTTGGGCTAAATTCACGCGGAGGGCCTCCTCTGTAACCAGTAAGTAAAAGTGTTCATGTGAAAAAACATTTCGGAAAGGGTTTGAGTGTAATGAGAATGAATGAATCAAAAAACAAGAAAAAAAGAAACAAAAGGAAAAATATACTAAAGACATTATTAACTTCATTCAAATATTTTCTAAAAAAAAAAATATATATATCAAAATTACTGCTCATATTTTAAAACACAATCACAGGCATCAATACCATAATTCTTAATATTAGCCCAACCTAAAAAAAATACGTGCGGGCTGGCTTCACTGTCCATTCCGAAGTGGAGGCTGCCTTGACAACAGTGACGCTCATTTGCAATTCATAAGACCATAAAAAAAGCAACCATAATAGTTGCTGAGTTGCTCTATAATAAACAAACACACCACTGCTAAAAATAATCTGGCTGTCAACTGAATATAGCATTAAAATAAAACCTTGATCGCTTCCAGAAACAGACTACCATAACCATACATGTTACCATAAGTTTAGACTGTGTGTAAGAAGCATTTAGCCCTTTTCTGTATCTTAATCATTATGTATCTGCACCCATTCTTATGTTTCCATCCATTTCCTGTATTGAAATGTTTTAGATGTTTTTTCTTTCAACAAAAATTAAATTTTTTTCTTGACTGATCACCTTTATAATGAAATCTTAATATATGATGATACAGCCATAACACATACAGTAACCTGTTTCAGTTTAATGTGACTTAACTAAACAAAGGAATCCCTCACTATCAACCCTTTGCCAAACTTGATGGCATGCTAGTGATTTAATTCAGCTGTTAAAGCAGTAATGCATCTAAAACTTCAATGACCGACGTTGTAGCGTAGCTTAACCTGCTTGGGAAAGAAATTGCACATATTGTAAATGTGCTGTTTAGCAGAAACCAGCTCTTGGTTTGTCACCAGCAGGCCATCGAGCTGTTTCCCTCTTGATTTCTGTGTTTTATGGAGGTGGACAGCAGTGAGCAGCGACTGCTGTCCCATTAATAACCACTAACTGCTCAGTGGTTTGGTCCTTGGCTGTTCAACAAACTGAAAAGGATGAGGCAGGAGCCTGTAGATCGATACAGTAAGAAGACACTGACGGAGATCAAATCAGGTCAGCCTTCAACTTCCTCTGAGTTCTCCTATCAACAGGGCTGTAATTTATATTTATTAAGGCTAAAATATGACTGATATCATATCTTTACAAGCTTAGAGACGTACAAGATTTGAATGGATTAAAAATATATTCCAAGTTACAATAGGATTGATGTATTGTTTGTAAACATGAAAATTCTTCTGTGTTTTCCCATTTTACCAAATTCTGAAGCGATTCAGCTCCACCAATTCATTTTCTGGAAGAGAATTTCAACCCCAGGGTTGTTTAAAAAACATTTTCATATTTAAATAGCTCTGCTGCCCTCAAGTGGTTAAACGCAACTATTAAATGTTTGCTTTAAATGTATTATAATATTATTATGTAACATCAGTGTTGCCAACAAATAAAATCTACCCCCATAAAAATCATCTTTTTTTTTTTTAAATATGGAACAAAGAAACAGAATAATTAAAAAGATTTAATGACAGAACTCATTAAAAAACAAACCCATAGGAATTCAGTGCATTATTAGGCACCAGAATCAACAAACATCTGTTGACCTGAATATATATATAAAAAAGCAGAACATACAAATGAGCTAAACTACATAATTTCATGTTTAAACAGATGCAGTAAAAGATAATTTTAGGCATAAAAGTAAAAACAAACCAATAGCCGTTAAACAACTGCAAACTTAAAGCCACAGAGCATTGCTCCTTTTCTGTTAGCTTTTAACTAAAAATAAAAAAAAATCTGCTTTTTACAATTGTAAAATACAGTAAAAGCTACCAGATGCAACTCTTCAGAGCTGCTGTTGCGTTGTAAACTGTTGCCAATAAGTTCATATTTGATGCTGGTTACTGATAATCCAGGGTTTGTTAAGAACTTTTATAGTGTTTGCATTTCAGGAATTCTTTTCAGTATTTTTTAGAAGGCATGGGGGTTAAACTCCTGGTCAAGCTGAAGTTTGCCCTCATTTCTGTAAGAAAGGGGGAAAAAAAGATGTACTCAATACCTACAGACATGTCAAGCACACATGAAGAGATGCTACAAACAATACAGGAAGATGTGGGATTTTTTGAAACTCACCATGGGCTTCATTTCCCGTCCATCTCCCTCCTCTGACGTGCGCTTAGCCATTTGTTTACTATTTTCAACAAACTCCTGGAATTGGAAAATACAAAAATTATTCGACTTCATTTAATAAAAGCAAGATCAAGGCGGATGTCAATTTTCCATTTTATTTGCTCTCATATATCCAGACTGAATGTTTTTTCTGTAGTTTCTACAGTTTTGGTATTTTGATGAATAAGGAAACAAATAAAAAACAACAAAGAAACTTAATTGTAATATAGCAGTTAGGTTGGTTCTCACCCATCTATGAAATCCAGGTTTTCCAAACATTTGTCTTCTAAAAATTCCATACTTTTCCAGACCAAACATTTTAGTTCACAAATTATTTACAAAACACTTAAGTGTTTAAAACCTGGGACGTTTTGCTCTTAAAGGTATAGAGGACGATCTTTTATTTCCGGGTGGATCATCTAAATAAGTGGTCCTCCTAACTGTCAATCATTCTGGTGATATGTTTACGTGAGGCCATCTTATGTGCTCGCCTCGTTAGCTATCTTTTTCTGCGCATGCGCACTTTAAGCCGTATATCTGTGGTGAACTATGGTTTCAGCCAGTCATTGAAGCACGCCTTTCTCACCACAGCTCTTTGAAAATGGCTGATGGTCATAAGAGAAAAAGTGTCTACAAAGTGTATGAGAGGAAAAGAAAGGCCTCAAAAGAGGCAGATATATCCCGGAATGCTTTGCCTAGAGAGCTCTCCTCGCAACACATGAGATTTGGCACGGTGTCGCCATAGGCTGTCACTACCCGACAGCAGCGACTAATAATAAAGAGGGCGTAGGCCCCGCACAGTGGAGGAGCTGTGATCATCTGTCCGAACGGTCAGTTAACTGAGTTTACTATAAAGTCCACCATTTAGTCCCTGCTGTTTGTGGACACAGTAAGCTTGTGTGAGCTATGAGAACAGCACATTTTAAACAGCGCATGCATGAGGAGAAATGGGCTTGTGCATGCTCTTGCACGCACATTTTTTTTTTTTTTAAAGTGGAGAGGACAGATCTTTTAAGAAATCCACCACAATAATTTTAACCCAAAGAGTTTCCCAGTTTAGAGCTAGTTAGAGAGAAGCTCCAAGCTTTATGCTGTTTAGGCCATAAAATCTAAAAGGTTAATAAAGTAAAAATTAAGTAAATAGGTTAATTATAAAGACTGAAAATATATATGTCTAGTTGGCTTACATGTAATAAATAAAACATTTCATCTTTTGAAACTCCCATTCCACAGAGAATTTTCTTTTTTCCCCTGGGCCCTCATGACTCATTGGGAGCGGAAACTAAAACATGACTAAAATATGACTACTGAACCCTGGAATTATTATGACAATAACTCACAGACACTCAACAAGCTTTTTTACCATCAAGGCCTTGTCCATGTAGAACTCTCGTCCAGGGCTGCCGTCATTGTACTTCACGTCCACAGCGAAGCAGAGGAAGAGGACGTCGACGACGTTCTCAAACACAGAGAGGAAGCAGTGGGCCACGAGGAAGGCAAAAAGACAGGCGATCAGGAGAGGTAACACCCAGACAGTGTAGTCCCGCTGGTAATTCAGAGCCAAGATGCCCGCAAAAGCTGTAAATGAGACGATCAAAACCTGGAGAGGAACAAGTTCTGATAAGAGATTACTCAGCAGGGACAGAATTAATAGGAATGTTTACCACTAGATGGCAGCACATGCTCTTCAGCTTGTGTTTGAATACAAGGTTTGCTGCATTATTTAAAGTGCTACATTTTCATGAATATCAAGAAACGGACTGTTTAATTTGTGTATAGCAAGCATTAAGAGGTACGACACACTGGTAGGATTTTTAGACCAACAATAAAACCCCAGATGGCAGAATTTCAAAGGTTAACCTAAATTATATGCATAAAATCAAATTATAAAAAATATTATGCAACCAAAAGAAAGTTGCATTTTTTTTTTCTGTAATCCTGTTTAATGAGAGAAGGTTTTAACTTGGTTAAATATTTAGGGAAAGCATAACTAAAAGAAACTGTATCCAAAAAGAACAAAAAATGTCTAAAGTGTCTTGAGGATACCTTTCCCAGAAACAGGACAAAGTCGCCCACTGTGTTAATGGCCGCCACTCGGAGCGCATTCTCCACCAAAATGACCAAAGCCTCACGAGCTGAAGTGCAGAAGTTTGTGCTGTTGATGGCCGTCGCAGTGTAGGCGTTCTGAGACAATATAACATTGGTTGGTAAAAAACACAAAAGCTTTGTTGGATCCTGCAGATTCTTCCCTCGCATCCATGATGTTACTTACTTGATTAAGAAATGCCAAGCATCTCTCCAGACACCACAGGCAACAGACGCAGGCTTTCAACATGCAACGAGCGCAGGCATTTTCCTGCAGAATGGTAAAATATTTCATTTTCAACAAACTGGCACAGTTTGGAATTATATCAATTTATAACAAAAAATGATGTCTCACCTTTCCTTTGAGCTGGCTGTGGATATAAGTTAGGATGAGACGAGGGATCTTAACAAGCGTGATGATGAAGGATCCCTTCGCCAGAGTGCCCAGGTGGTAGCGGGTGGTCCGCATCATAGAGGAAACTACTGGAAGAGCTGGTATCTGGGACTTGTCCCTGAATTGCATCAAAAAGGAGAAGAAGGCTTTTATCATACAGAAGGTTTAAGCCTTCTTCCAATGACAACGACAGTCTCCAGATGATTCAATTCCAGGGAGTAGAGCAGATATTTGAAACTATATCAGGTTTGGTCTCAGGGAAGCGGTGTTTTCATTATTGTATAAAGTGATAGCAACATTGCATTGCATGTTAAAACACTGCTATGGTCTAGAACCAAGTCTACAAAGTTAAGAGATCAAGAAGAGTGCCTAACTAGTCTTAAGAGTTGTATTTGTTTTAGTATTATTTTACTTTTCCTTCTGATTTTCAACTATTTTAGTTTTCATTCGTTTAGAGTATTTGTTAGCTAGTTTAGTTTGAAAATGCAATTTCAGTTTAGTTTTTATTCCTTAATCTTTTATCTAACATGACTTACATACCAAAGGCAAGATGAAAAAAATATATATAAAGGGCCTGACTGCTGTACATGCCATCTGTTGATGTAATGTGGTACAGCTAAAAAAAAAAAGCGAAAGCCGCAGCAAGAAACTAGCTATAAACTATTAATCCAATATGACAAAGACAGAAAGGAATCTGAGCACATTCTCTCTTGAAATTCAGTTAGTTGTAATTAGTTTTATAACTCTTATTAAAGTTTCAGTTAGTTTTTTGGGTTTTTTTTAAACCAGGACTACAAAAAGTTATTTTTTAATCTAGTTTTCATCCACGATAATTATTGTTGTTCCTAGATGTACAGCTCCTCAGGGACTCTGCCAGAAGTTAGTGTCCAACTATGAATAAAGCCCATTTGCTGTAGGTTATGATCATAAATATGCTGTTCACACCAATTAGGAAGGTTTGAATAATACTGAGATTAAGGTTTTGATTAAAAAAATGGCCTTTTGAGTTATTTAAATAAAAAAACACATAATACCAGTTATTCTGAGCTGTTGGAAAATTGTTCCTGTTGGATGCAATAAATACCAACATCTTTTAGTTTGTATGTTTTTGCCAATAAACTAAGTTTGCATCGGTAAGGTTGAGTAATTTTAGGTGCAATGTAAAAATAAAGAGGAAAACATTGACATAGAAAACAGATGTCCTTCAACTAATAACATACCTTGTGAAATAATAGGTGACCACAGCTCCAGCAATGGTCATCTGCTGGAAAGCAAGGATGAACTCACTGATCCAGATGAGCCCGACAAGATGATACCACACCATGTACTGGAGAGGCCCCTGCATTTCATACTCCACCACACCAGTGGAGTTGTTCTTTACGGGGGATCCTTAGGGTTAATACAAGCATTGGATTTGGGTTACACACTTTACTGTGACGGTTAACAGAAACCAAAAACTTTCTTTATTTACTGGTGAAGCAGAAACAATGCTGGCTGGCTAACATGCATCTCCTATTTTTTTTTATTGTTGTCCTCGCTTTGTCAATTGTTTTTCCATGTAGATCATGTATGGTGCTCAGTTAAATGTTGATAAAATGTCCATTTAAAAATGTTTACTTTTTCTATACCAAAATAATGTTATTCTGACTTTTTTTTAAAAAGAAGGAAAACTAAAATTAAACTTCTCCTAGTGAACTGATTTATAGGAGAAAAAAAAATTACATTTTATGAAATCATTGTTTAGGCAAAAATAAGTAAGGGGAAATAAGTAAGGAAAATCTGCACTCATCTACTAAGGTCAGTTCAATTCAGTTTAGCAGCGTCAATGAAATAGTTTAGATTGGCCTTGAAAAAACATGTAAACAGGCCTAGCTTAGCCACCAAATATTTGGAGAATGTTAGTTTACTGTAGATATATGCGTGGCAGCAAGTTTCCATAACATTAGACAATTGTTTGGAAAACATGATTTCAAATGATAACATAAAATTAAAAATGTGAATATTTCATTGATGAAACAGAAAATGGCAAAAACAATTCTTGAGGGAGGCTTGAATAGAGCAGACAATCAGGTTAATTAAGCATTTTTAGATATTTCAATCAGTTGACTGAATTTGTTTTTTATGCTTATTATGAAATATGGTTTAAAGAGAAAAGGTTCTTGTCTCTGACTACTGCAACTATGTAAAACCAGAGGTGTCAAAAGTATTAAGGTTTATTACTTAAGTAGAAGTATAAATCCTACTGTTTAAAAACACTTTTATAGAAGTCAGAGTATCAACTTAAGCTTTAAAAAAAAAATATGGATGCTTCAAACCTCAATGCTCACAGTGTTACACTATTAAAGGAACATTTTTCAACAACTCTGGAGGATTCCTTACACTTCTTATTGACACGCGGTGTCAATAAGAATGGAAAACTTTTAACAAATCTAATGTTACAAAAAGTATGAGTTCTCCTGCTTTATCATAAATGTATTTTTTAGCTTCCCAGTGAAACTACAATTTTCTTTTTTTTAAATCAAACAAAACTGTGTTTAAAACAAATAAAATCAAACTCTTGAGATATTAATGTAAAACAAATAGTCAGTACTCATTACTGTTGGATCTCTTTCATAAAACACAAAAAACGGCCTCAAACAATACAAGTAAAGCAGGGATTCAATGCAATGCAACTCTCTGTGTTGGTCCTTTGTTCTCAGTGGGACTTTAAAATTCACAGCAGAATGGCGAAGTGGGAGCTGAATCAAGAAATGGCTCTTTGACCGTGTTCTCCACGTCACGGGATCAAGGATTCCAAATGTGGGAGTTCAGTAATGTTACAAAAGCCAGACTAAAAGTCACTAGGTAACCAAAAACCATATAATTTTTTTTCTCTAAGAAAAGACTTCCTAAGAGACATTTTACAACTATAAAGAGAGCAAAGCAGAAATAGTTTTTTTTTATCCTGACCTGACGTCCCGAGGAAGAGAAGCACAGCTATCCAGTAGACCCAAAAGAACATGAGGCTAAGGAAAGTCCAGAAGGGCTGCACGACCAGCAGGGGGAGGTGAATGAACACTTTCCCCGCCACATGGAACAGGGAAATGGTGAGAGCCACACGCTTCCTCATGAAAAACATCACCAGTAGAAGCACCACCTGCAAGGATAAACCAAAGGTTTTCTTTTACTGTCCCAGAGGCTGATAATCGCATCATGTCTATTATGAAGCGTTTTCATGTATTTCTACAAAACAAACTTCATTTTAGTATTGATTGTGACCCTGATTAAGATTAAAAGACTTCTCAACATAGACATACATACTGTAAAAATAGTAGCCCCGATGGCATACACAAGCAAGGCCTTCTCATTGTCCATAGCCACGTCTTTCCCAAATACATCTGTGCTGTTTTGACTGAGAGCAAATCTGTGGTCTGCATAAAGCCACCAGAGGATAGCTGTCCCACCTGCAAAAGATCAGATTTTTAAAAAGCAGCGTGAGCTTGAAAAAAGAACTCATAAAGTTAATGCAAAACAGAAATTACTGCAGTTTTCTGTGGGCAATTTATGGAGGGTAGCAGAATAAAGCCAGTTACCTACAGAGCCGATGATTACCAGAACTGTGAGAATCCAAACCAGCAGTTTGGAGATGTAACGAATAACAACCATCATGATCAGGGACAGGACTGAAGCAAAAAGATAAAAGTGATATATAACAAAGACAATTAACTTGGAGCTGCAACTCTGAAATAAACATCTACCCAAATATTTTTCCTCTTTTTTTTTTTATGTCTGTATGTATCCTGCAGAAAATGCTTTTCTAAATGCCTAAGATTAGTATGCTAATGCTTGAATTTCCATTAGATAGAAACCCTTCAGAGTGAATAACAGACAGACCTTGGACTCATAAAAAATGTGTATCACACACAAAACAGACACATCAAATAATTCAGATTAAGATCAGGTCTGATACAGAGCTGTACCAAGAGGCAAACTCAAAGCAGATATTAAATCATTACCCAAAGGCCCAACTTTAGAGGATCCAATGCTGGTAATCACCCAGACTTCCTGTTTTTCTTTTAAGCACCATATTTAGCTTCAATTGCAAATATTTCCTTCCTGCTGAATCCTCATGAGCAGCCGGAGCTGAGCAGTGGGGATGTAGCAAAGCAAATCTCTCAAGCATGTTTTATTTTGATATCACTTCAGTAACCACTTAAAAGGTCCATTGCATATACGATATGTTACATATAACAAAGTTTTATACCCAGAGCCAGAACACAAAGACCCATGATGATCTCCTTGCTGGTCATCACCCCGGCAACGACTCGTCGCAGCACGGTGTTGTCATTGACAAATGTGATGAAGGCCTGGGCAAATTCAGCATAGCAGGAAATGTCCACTGGGATACAGCGATGGAAGATTGGAGCAGCTTTACTAAAAGGAAAAGGACAGTATTTTGAAAAAAACAAGTAAAGTTCAAAAATTTTATTTTTTGTTTTAACCATTTATTCATCTAGTGAGAGAAAACGCTTAAAGTGAAAAGTATATAACCGGTAGGATACACCTTCCCATCATACTGCGAGCTGCAGCCATCCTATGCTGATGAAATGCAGCAGTGCTGATGCTTGGTTTTGCACACGGGCATCAGGAACATTAAAAAAAACTTCCTTTTGTGTAATTTTTTTCTTTTAATGCAACTTCATCCCTGAGCTTCTGAGATGTTTAGATCTATTGGATGTTTGTATTTCAGGGCCTGGTGCCGTAGCTACATGATGATTATGAATATTCTCTGTAATAGGAGTGACAGCGTGTTGTTTGAGTTGTCCAGGATACCAAGACTGTAGCACTTGTAAAATACACAGAATGGATAAAGAAATGTTTTACTCTATATAGGCGTGCATTGGTACAAATTCATCAGTGAAAATATTTTGAGTGTAGCATTATATGATGGACGAAAAGCAGAACATTTTGTGAGTTCAAACATTAAACTTTATTTCATTGGGATTTTTGTGGAAGACGCAACTAAGACAGTATTGCTGAAGTAGGGACATTTCTAAAACGTATATGAGACTGAATCCTCAGTATCAGGTTCTGAACTGACTGAAACAAAGCAGACGGGTGGGATATAGTTGTACAAAAATTCAATGTAGTGCAAGATATAAAACAATATTCCAAGCTTTGGCTCTCACACAGGACTTGGAAAATAGATAGTACAACTACAAACCTACCAAGATATGACCCTCAGCCCGAACCCACAGAATAACAAAGAAGAACACGGATCAAAAAGCAGCCATGATGCTTTTTAAAGAGAGCTCTTGCAAAGCAATCTGGGATATCTAGTGACCGTAGTTCCACACTACTTTTCAAGGTGCATTGTGGGAAATTTGGATGTACTACTTTCCCATTCAACTTGACATTTGGACACTCATGTAAAATGGCGTAACCCCTGTATAGTGCTATATATAGGGTTAGGGCGGACGTTCGGACACAGCCCTGGTTAAGGGGTAACCTAGTTGGGGGAGTGGTGGCCAAGTTGTTAGAGTATAGTGCTTGGAACCCTGAGGTTGTGGGTTTGAAACCCACTCCCATAGACGACCACTCTGGGTTCCTGTGCAAAGACCCTTAACCCCACACTGCTCCCCAGGCGCTGAAAATGGCAGCCACTGCTACCCAAAGGGATGGGTTAAATGCAGAGAGTGAATTTCGTTGTGCTGTACTTGTGACGGTGGAATGACAACGAAAACAGTGGGGGTTAAAATTTTTGGTCATGGCTCATGAGTAAAACGCACGTTAAAGCAGTGACATGACCAGACTGAGGACTCTCTCCTCTGAGATTTTCATATTACGCATGAGTGAAACAAAAACTGAGGTTTCTTCTTCTATTACTAGCTACCTTTATTTATTGCATTGCATGTCAGGTTTGTTCAAGACCTTGACCTCTTTGAGGAGGTACAGTGTGACTAGTCAGATGGCATCAGAGCATCAGTTCGTACTTTGTGAGGACATTAATTGAAAGCTGTGAATTTTTGAACTCTGCGATTGATTCGGACAATCTAAGTTGGGGGTATGAGCGACGATTGAAAATATTGCACAGTGCATCGCAAGCTTTAGCTTCTATTATCTTTATTATCTCTTAAGCGTTTTAGTGTTAGTAAAGCTAATAATTATCAGAATACAGGTCACTAACGCTAACCTTTTTGGCCAGCTGCAGCTAAAGATCGGCTGTACTGTTTTTTTAAGGCAAATGCAGATTATCTTTACATTGTATCACTGATCCTGGATATGTGCCATTTCTTGGGCAATTTTTGGAGTTGATATTTATTTTTCTTCTTTAATTTCAATGATAATAGAAACGAAACAATGATCATTTGTCAATGCGTGCACTCCAAATGATCTAATGTGCTTATGAGTCAGCCAACATATGCAAGTATCACCCCATCCAAATACTAGAACAAAAAGCCATAAATATTAGCTGGCAGATGTATCGGTCTATCTATATAAACTTGATCAGTATTTGCTATAAAAACTAAAGTTATTATGTTAAAAGAAGTCTGCTGAAAGTGTTAAATACTTGTGTTAAATGCATGGGAAACAGCTTTTTTGACAACCAAAACCAACGTGATTTTGTGCAAATAATAATTCTAGGTCTGGTTGACAAAGACTTGTGCTTTCATTATGTTTTAAAAAATGTATATATCTTTGAATTAATGCTGGTTGATAAGGAAAAATCTTCACTATCTCTGACAGTAGTACTAGCGTGTGCTGTTATAGCTTTCCCAAATCTGATATTTATCGATGACCTGGAAGAAGAAAGTCATATTTCTTTTTTTTGTTTGTTTAAGGCACGAGAAGTCTAATTTACAGTGTGCCACAGGATCTCTGCTTCAGTATGATATACTTTTTAGATTATTTTATTTAGACTGCATTATTATACTTTTTTTAGATAAACTACAAATTGTCCAATTAAACATATTTTTCTTTGTCTTTTTCATTATGATAAAATATGGCTAGAGCTAAATGGGCATGAACACTAATTTATTCTCATTTAGAGTAGAAAATACAAACACATTAAAAGAAAAAAAAAACAAAAAAGGCTTGAAACAACTCACCTTGGTGGAACAGGAAGTTTTGGACATTTAGTTGTTCTTTCTGCACTCCAGTCATATTTTGCCGGAGGAATATCATACGAGCAGAGTTCAGAGCCTAACAAGATAGAAAAACAATAAAAAAAAAATGAAAAAGCAAAATAATGATAATGAAAAAAAAAATGTTCAGGAATGTACAGACAACTTATCATTCCTCAATCTATAAGAATGAAATAATCAGCAGCCAAAGGATAACTCTAATTAACTTCCTGGTTTATGTTTGATGCATCCGTGAAGCCAAATCACATAATTTTAACATCCATGCCACCTAAATTTCCTCAGAACACACCTAGAAAGATATAAACCTCTAGAGACGTCTCATGATTTAGCACATAAAGGTCACAATAATAAAAACCATTGTGAAAAACTGAAAGCTGTCACTATGAAAGTACTGCAACTGTTGGGTGACACAAAGAGCCTTTGAAAATGTTGAAAACGGCTGTTTTCTAATTTTACATGTCGCGTTGTGTGCAGTCTGAGCCCATTACCCCTCCTAGAATCAGCAAGAATATCAGCTACAAGCGGAAATGCTGCATGAGGAATAAAAGCTGCAGTCATCGTGTCCACTCAGAACTTACCATGTCTAAGCCTTTGGTAAAAATGCAGTCTAACAACACATTACTTTTACAACAATGGAACTAACTTAAACTTGGGTATTTCCTGCTCTAAATATTCACTCACCATTATTGATGGCAAAATTTTTTAAGTCTCTGTATGTTTCTAGTTTTGTTTCAGGACATTTGGAGACACACAAGGCAATGGACTTTATTTTTCTGTTGATCAGGTCAAAGTTGCAAGGATCTAGAAAGAAAACATATCTAAACAAAAAGAAAAAAAGAGAACATTTTAGATTTTAAAACTGTAAATTGTCATACAGTGCCAACCAAAGATGCAATACTTTTTCTGTGGTCGCAATGTCAGCGAGGGAAGAAACTTAAAGATGCTGACATTTACCAGCCCATTAGACAAACTCTGCTTTGTTGCTGAAATGCTTCTTTTTGTCAACAAACCCTACATGGCAATCAGCCCATCAATAAAGCAGACTCCTTTGTTTCAGTGAAGCTAGGCTGGTGGCCTGTATGCTGGAGTTCCAGCTCCAGCCCCCACAATTTTGAAAGATTTAGGACAAATAATAAAAATTAGCTCTTACATTTACACGCATGTAAAATGGCGTAACCTCTGTATAGTGCTATATAAAGGGCTAGGGCGGACATATGTTCTGGCACAGCCCTGGTTAAGGGGTAACCTAGTTGGGGGAGTGGTGGCCTAGTGGTTAGCGCATAGAGCTTGGAATCCTGAGGTTGTGGGTTTGAAACCCACTCCCACAGACTGCCACTCTGGGTTCCTGTGCAAAGACCCTTAACCCCACACTGTTCCCCGGGCGCCGCATGATGGCAGCCCACTGCTCCCCAAAGGGATGGGTTAAATGTAGAGAGTTCATTTCGTTGCTCTGTACTTTTAACTGAGTAATGACAATTAAAGCTGGAAAAAAAATTGACACCCAAATAAACTGAGAAAGAATGAGTAGAAAACAGATTTACTGACTTTTTCGTGGTCATGTCGGCCCCACTAAGAGGTACTCCCTCAATCTTCTTGTGGGTGTTATTCCGGCCACAGGTGTTGCCATAACTATCATATCCAGAAACGAGACGGGAGGCACCTCCTGTGGCAATGGCAAAGCCACAAATAAAGGCCTGCAGACAAAACAGACAAGAGAACATAATGACCAAGGGAACAACATTAAGGAACTTGCCAGCGTCTAATATTCACGGTTCTGAGTGTATTTGTAACAGATCAGATAGGCTGGCCGTTCCCTCTATTCTCTGTATTAAATACCGAGACGTACATCATGTTATGAAACAAACACCTCTATACAGCTGCACACTGTGTATAGATTTCAAATTTTTGTTCAAATGTTTACACTTCTTGAACTCTAAGTCATATTACAACCTAGGGTGCATCGATCCACATGGTTTCTTCACATCCAAACCATTCTAAATTACTCTCTACAAGGCAGAAAGTATGACTGTATCTAAGAGCCCGAGTCCATGGATATCCCTCTTAGAATCTTTTATTTCGTCCCCTACACTGGATCTTGGACTTATCTTCATTACTGACATATTTCCTTGTTACTGTAAGTATACACAATGGGCTTTATTAATTTACAAAGTGAACAGAAACAAATTATAAGAAACAAAATAATAAAACTTTGTATGCAACCAAAATGAGTTTTTAATGAACTTTTAATAACTGATTTCTGCATCTCTAGTTACAACCACAAACTTCAGTGTACTTTAGGGAAGTCCTGATTGAACTTTTTTTTTTCCATTACGATACTGATATTGCCTTGAGCACTGACTGATACCGATATTGACCCGATATGATATCAGCACAAAGCATTCCTACTTTTAGACGGAGTGTTGGCCTAGTGGGTTAGATCAGTGCATTTGTGCTTTGAGAAGGTTGCAAGTACCCGGTCGATCCCCACAGTCTGCACTCTGGGTTCCTGAGTAAAACCCTTAACCCCCATTGCTCGGGGACCTAGAGGGGCAGTCCGTGGGGTTTGAACTCAGAACCTCTGGATTCCAAGCGAAATGCCCTAACCACTAGGCCGCCACTCCCCCCTGCTTCACTGTTGTAAGCTGTTCATTCACTGTTGAAAGCAGTACGCATCAAAATTTCTGACAATAAAGTTAGTCTTAGTCTAACAAATGCACCATAAAGTCGGCATCTTCACACTATGATCAAGGGACCAGTTTATCTTTCAACACTCCAGGATTTCTCTCACAAAGCTGTATGGAGAGATGCGCTGCTTCAGCATTATTTTCTCCACATTTCTATATTTTATATTTGTTTTTTTCTAAGAAGTGGCTTAAACAAACAACCAATGAAAACAAAATGAACATAGGTGAGTTTACGTAAATATTATATACCGTAAATTCTCTAATATTGGCCTGTATTCCATTAGTGGACGGGTCTCTAATAATGGCCGGTCTCGCTGTCGGCGGAGGTAAATAATGGCAGTACTCGTATACAGGCCGGGGCTAAAATTAGAACCAAAGATGTTCCTGGCTGTCCTTAACAACTTGTGATAGTAAGATACAAGTACCACAGGGGGGCAATGTTTGCTAACGAAGCCAAGCCATTAGCATGGGAAGTCCCATCCTTACACAGAGATCGTAGTGGCCCTTACACAATCGTTCTCATCTGAAAGACATGTGATTACCGGTAGGTCTGGTGGTAACCAGGCAGTTTTAAAATGACAGAATTTCGTTGGCTTTCGTTGTTCTGAATTTCCTTTGAAATATATGATACTGGTAGCCTACTGCCTTTTAACCTGCCTCAAATAAAATTTCGCTGTGATGGCAGAACAGTTTCCATAATTTTTTTTTTTTTTTAAACTTTGTTTCACAATTCAGTTTGGCCAAGATTCCATTCTGTTTCTTTTTCTTTTTTTTCGTATTGCCGTGCTGAAAAATTGCAGCTGCTGAAAGATGTATGAAAAATATTTTGTATACCGTTATGGTAACTGTACTTTTTCAATAAATGAACCTAGTATTTTATAGGTTCAAAGAGACACAAATTCTTGTTTTTATTCATTCCACTGGTAGTCTGTTTTGATCAAATAGAAATAGANGATTTACGGTAAACAAAATTATAAAAATTACTAGATTAAATCAAAATAATGCCAAACATTCTAATACAGCTGGAAATTTTAATAATGTTAAGTTTTATCATCATGAGACACAATTCTTAATGCAGTTCTTAATGTTATAATCAGGACATTTTAAATAGGAGCATTTGTAATTTTTTTTTGTTTGTTTCATGTATCAACCAATCACAGCTCTTAGAAGCCAGTGTCACTCATAGCAAAGGGGCCAACCACACCTCCTCACTAAGATCAGAAGCTTTGTTAAGTCTATGCTTAGAGCTGCTCTAAGCAACTATCTGAATCAATCTTTGGCAAGAATTTTTAGGCTGAAGTCAGAGTTCTTCAAAAGTACTTCAGGATTTTTTTTGTGAGTACAGACCCTGCTTTTAAAAGACTTCCTTCATCCAATCAGTCTAAGCTTCAGCTATTTTACAAAGATTGGGCAAAAATGTCTCAAAACGTGTTAAACTGGTAGACTTACCACAAAAGTTTTATCTGCTCTACTTACAATGTAAGAAGGTTCTATAAGAACACTGAGAGAATACCATCCAGATTTTATCATGATGTGAGTCAAACCCCAAAATATCCACAAGGTTTCCCAAAAAGTGAAAACACTAAAACACGCACATTTGTGCTCTGCCGACTGCTATGTTTTTATTTCTAATCTTTGGTGTTTGCGAATAGGATTATTTTACCATGAAAATATTATAGATATTTCTTTAAAAAAACAAACAAAAAAAACATGAGTGAACAATGTTATCAATCATATAATAGAATGTTGGAAAACTGTTTTCTAAGCTTATAAAAAAAGTTTGGATACTTTTCTCTTTATTGATAGCTGTGGGTTGAAAAGCTTTCATAACATGAATTCTATGTTTCAACACATATTTTTGATCACACATTTTTATGTGACGTAATTCTCATAACTTTTTGGACAACTAACCTTAAACCTGTCTGGATATGGAAAGTATTACCTGTGGGTTTCTCAGACAACACATTTTTAGAGCGTATATATTAAGGTTATTTTCTTTGTAAGGATAAATTGTGGCACTGCAACCAACTTGGATTTTTTTTTTTTTTATTAGGAATGAAATACTCCAGATTAAATGGCAAAATATCTAAAATTCTCTTGTAGACTTTGGCATCTTTACCTAAGGATACCTTGTATGGAACCAAACAGCATTTTATTCTGTCCCAGGAAAGTTCCCCGACTATGATTGTAATGCAAATGAAGGTTCCAGTCAGGGCACTTTTCATGCAAGAACCACCTCAGGGTAAAATACCTTAAAATCTAAGATAAAGCATGTAAATTAAACATACATCACTAATGAAAGCCACTTCCTTTATCCAGTCACATCAGAAGTTTGTTTGCTAGGAAATTTAAAAAGAGATGTCAGTAAAATTCAATATTTTGGTTTTCTTTATTCCCTGCTTGCTTTAGAAAGTGATTAAGAAAAATCCCATACTTTAAAAAATACTGTGGATTTGTCCACATAATGCAAAACATTAAGTTCACAATTGAAATGTGAATGTAGAGTTAAATGCTTAAGAGCAACGCTGCAGTGAACTGAAATCTAAAGAAAACAGGCAAACATAAGTAACATACAAGTCAATTTTCTTGAAAAGGGGTTTATTTTACCTCAATTTGAGCAGGTAGGTAAGACAATTTACTAATGTTAAAAGAGGATTTCAGTAAAAAAAAAATCCATCTTATTTCAAGTAGTTTATATGTAATTATCTTATTTTGAGGGGGAAATACAATTTTCTTAGTTAATCATCAAATTTACCCACTCATTTGAAGAAGTTTTTACATTTTAGATTACCTTTTACTGTGTCATACAAAATAGGTCATAAGATTATATCTATTGACTGAATGGACTGCACTTAAATCTTAGATCTTTTTTTGAGATTTATATACTTTTTGTTATGAGAACATCTGATTTCAAGAAGTCTTGCAAAGTGCAATTGTCTCACTGCACTGGCAGATTACTGCTCTTATTTGAAGTAAAATCCTCTCACACGCAATATTCTCTTTCTTAGAGTATCAATCTCCATACGGGACCCTGATTAAACGGACAATTTTTGCAGCATGTAACTGATAATTCACTTGGACCAATTTAATCATTCAACTTTACAATTTATTATTTTTAAAATGCAGTCACCTTAAAACTTAAGCCATATTAAGATCAGTGGTGTAAAAAGTACACACATTTGTAACTTAGGTGTAAGTATACAGTAGATCCTGCAGTTGAAAAGCACTGGTAAAAGTTGAAGTATCAACTTAACCTCTTTTTTCAAGTAAAAGTGAAAAAGTATGTGCTCCAAAAATTACTTAAAGTATAAAAGTATAAAGTAACCTTTAAAAAAAACTGCCGGATGCCGCTATATGAATTGAAAAAATTCTAAAAAAAAAAACAATTTGCAAAAATTCTTTGAGACCAAGGATGAGGGAGGTCTTGTTGGTCTCCGATACGCTCTCGCCTGTGTCCGACCTTTCAGACATTTTTGAATTTTTCTGAATTTCATTGTAGCATGGCATAGATAGACTATTCATGTTTGCAGTTTGAAGAACTGCATGCTTTGGATGATTTCCTTTAGTTAACCAATGAGTGTTTGCGTTATATGACTCATCAATTACACTACTTTTCGTTAGATGTGGATGCACCAATGATCTGCATTGGATGGCACAGATGACGTGAAATAAATATATATAAACATTAAACCGAAGCCAAGAGTATCGAGTAACATTTTAAAAATGTAAGGAATAAAAAGTACAGATACTTGTGTGAAAATGCAATGAGTAGAAGTCAGATGTAGGAAGAAAAATAATTAATGGAGTAAAGTATAGATACCTAAAAAGTGTACTTAAGTATAGTAACAAAGTATTTGTACTTAGTTACTTGACACCTCTGATTGAGATACAAACAGCAGCCCCACCCTGGCCCCCTGGTAAACTTGGTCTAGAGCCGCCCCTGATAACTAATCCTAGATATCCATCATTACCCTCCAGACTTACCATGCCAACACAAAACAGTATGAATATGAGAAGCCATGGTATATCCGTGCAGCTGCGATCCTTCAGCGGCTTCCAGTCCCGTTTCCCCTGCCAAGGCATGGTGAGAAAACACAGGAGCGGTTATTGTTGGTGTGTTTTTGGTGGGAGCGCCTCTCTCTCTGCAGCAGCCAAACAACCAACTACTGAGGAGTTTGAAACAAAGAGCTGCCACAGCTGCTGGAGAGGACGTCACATTTTACATTGCCCACCGACAGGGCTGTTAAACCAGAAGCCATCAGAACAACTCACCTCTGCGCTGCTACAACATCCCATTGCTGAGAGTTCGGTGGGGGGGGGGGAGGAGTAAAATTTTACTTTTAAAGTATACTTATAAAAACTTTTTGAGTCTTGGTTTTCTTCTCTGTTTATGGGTCACCCGGGAGTTAACATTATTTGCTAGTTTGTAGATTTAGAAACCGTCTTTAAGAAACTCCAACGGCTTCAGGTAAACACGGAAGACAAATGATACACCTCCCTACTGCCGAGGAAGATCTGCGTGCTGCCTTTAAGGACTGTAGGACATAACATACAAACCAACAGCCCGCATACAAACATGTGTCGTTTTGAAATACTTTTAGCCTACATTGAGTTCATTGTTGGATGTTATATATGTTTAAACGATGTGCTCCGAAATCTGCTGTAAATATGTAAAAATATGTTTGTTAGTTTGTTGCTATTGTTTTTTGTCTGTGGTTGTGTGCTGTACCAATGTAACGACACAATAATAGGCCAGTAAGCAACATTATCTGTGTGGGTCCCATATAAAGTAGAATACCTCCATCCCCTACCCCCTATTGTGAGATTAAAGTCAAAATTCTGAGGAAAAAGACAGAATTCTGACATTTCAGTCAGAATGGCATCTGACATTTCAGTAAGAATTCTGAGAAAGAAGATAAAATTCTGAGATTACAGTCAGAATTCTGAGAAAGAAGACAGAATTCTGAGATTTTAGTCAGAATTCTGAGATTTTAGTCAGAATTCTGAGATTACAGTCAGAATTCTGAGGAAAAAAAGTCAGAATTCTGAGATTTCAGTCTGAATTCTGAGAAAAAAAGTCAGAATTCTGAGATTACAGTCAGAATTCTGAGAAAAAATTCTGAGAAAAAAGGGTTTAAGAGGAATTTTTTGCACCATTACATCTACAAAGAGACGTTGTCATCCAAAATTGCAGAACAAGATGTCAGTGACAGAGCCCCTAAGAGGTTGGGGGCCCCTAAGCAGCTGCATTCTGTTTACCGATAGTTACGTTATTGCGCTGTCCTACAAATTCCGATTTCGCCCTCTTTCCAGAGGCGTCAGCTAACCCACAGCTATACAGGAGCACAATAGGGCACCAAATAAAATGCGAGCGTGCGAGCAAAAAAATTTTGGGGCAATTATTTATTTTAGAAAAAGCATGGGCACAGATAATTCATGCAAGCATGCGGGCAAATATTTTATAGCACTTATTTATTATTATAAAGCTTCATAAATAAATTGTACAATCAGATTGTTATTATCTGCATCATGAAATATCTACCTGAACCAAACTGAATTGAATTTGCCCACTTGCGAATTTAACTGTATATCTCTAATCTACGACCGATGAAGGCACAATTTATCTTCATTAAACATCTATCAGCAAACATCAACTTGAAACTGAAAACTTGAAATGTGCATCTGTAAAAGGAAAAACAATAAAAACACTTCGATATAGATACATGTCTGTGTTTATCATTTATATTTGGGCCCATCCTATGATGGTGATGATCCTATGAGGTGTGTGTGTATATCATGGACCGAAAGATGGGAGAGCTGGATGTTCATTTTCTAACAGTAAACGGTAGCGTCTCAGCCAGTGGCGGCTGGTGGAGTTTTCTCCAGGGGGCTATTAATTCAAAATACACGTATACAAAAAAAAAAACAATCAAATGTCTACTAAGTTATCACACCAGTTTATTTATATAAAAGACAAAAAAAACATTATAAAAACAAAACATTATTTCATGAACAGCTTTACATTTAAAATGTTTTAAATGTGCTTGAAAACAATAGAAAGAAGCACATTTTAAATTATTTCCAACTGAATAATAATAATAAAAAAAATGTTTCCAGTAGTGAGTTTAACATACTTTGAGTGTGTATTACCGTAGCCTGTGTAGTGGAAATATTTCACAATACATAGTCATGTGACTTCCAAAAGGCTTAGCAGGAAAGCATATTAGATATAAAAGAGGCTTATGATTTTAACACAAACCTTTTGGTGTATCTCTGCTATGTCAATTCTGGTTACTTAAATAAAAAAAAAGGATCAAGAGATTAATCTAAGTAAGTGTAACAGTAGGTTTTAATGTTTTTACTCAAATTTAAGTAAAAAATTGCTTTATTAAAACTACTCCAGTATTTTTCTGATTTTGGAGTCTAACATTTAAACGAATAATAAGATGTTCATACTTGCTGTTACTTTCAAGTAGGAATGAGAAAAGAACTAGCTTCCTTGAATGTAGCACAGCGGATGGAATGCTGGGTGTCTGCGGAGAGTTTGGCGCCGCTTGGTGGAGAAAAGGCGTCATTGCTGAATGTGACCTCTGAGGTGCAGGGAAGCTGGTGCCTTTCCTCAGAGCTCATTCAGCAAGAAGGGGAATGCACTCTGATAGGCTTCCAGTGTAAACATATTTAACAATACAGTTTCTCACAAAACTAATTAACTAAATCTAATAAATTAGGTTACAGACTCTCCTGATAAAGAAATGCTTGAAGCATTTAGTTTTGAAGATTTACCTCCTGTGTACAAAAGGGACTGAGCTGCGGAAGTAATTATTAACAACTGAAAGAGCTCTGAAAAGGAAACTAAAGCAGAACATTCCCATTTCCTGCCATTGCTGCGTGTTAACCATTTGTCTTAAGCCTTTGAAGCGTCACTTCTTCCTCTTAGCTAGATCTACTGTGAGTCTCGTGACAATAAAAATACCATTTAATGAATACTCATAATCCCCCTTGGACTTTTTCAGAATACGTCAGATAACAAGCAAATACCCCAGAGTATTTTATTTGGATTTCATGTGAAATACCAATATGAATGTGTAGCTGTAAATGAAAAGGAAAATGGCTGACATTGTAAAAAATTTTATATGTACAACTCCGTAAACCAAACTGTATACCTCTGTTTTCCAGCACCTATTTCACTGAGTTAAATTTAGGGGCTCTAAGAGTAAAACAGGCTCAGTACAAAGACTATACTTCTGCATTAAAAGAAAAAAAATAATAAAAATGTATACAATTATGTATAAGTTTCCTTCAACTTCAATGTTTGCACCTATTTTAGTTTTTATAAAATACATTCACACTTATGTTGTTTGATGTGACAATATGGAAAAAGCTAAAAATAGTATCGCTGCATTTGTAAGCCACTGTAAATTCAAGTATTACCCTGGATTCTATAAATGAAGCGTAATCTCTAATGGCAGGCATGTAATGCAGCTGCGACAGCAGTTACATATGATTTTCATTTTCCATGCTCATCAACTTTAAATTAAAACATTACATATCATGCATTTTTAAAACAGCTGTAGTTCTGAAAGTATCAATTAGCAACAGTGCTGATGTTTTGTCAGGTTACATTGCTCCTGAAGTGTTAGCGAACATGTTCAAATACAACTGCCAAGGGATTTATCACTCTTATCATGTGATGAAGCAGCTAATTGCCTCTCATCTCCTGAATCTGACTGTAAGTGCTTCCTGCTGATGCTGCTTTGGCAACTGTATCCAAGGACAACATGCTGTCCTGGATCCCTACTAGAGGAATCATTGCCAGTGCAGCATGTGTTCAGCAGCATTCTTGGTGAAGAGGTGTAGTGCGTCACTGTCTTGGTCTGCTCGGGGTCTGGGCCGAGTCATTCGTCATAGGGAGCGCAAAACAAGGATAAATATTATGTTTGCCTTTCCTCGGATACCTTCACGACTCATAGTGTCAGCAATGTGCAGTCCTGAAGGATGTGATGAATTCAGTTCTTACACTCCCATGCACCAAACAGCTAAAACATTAAGTTCTACACAATTTTACTGCTATAAAATGTATTCAAACACAAATTGTCAAAATCTCTAAATTGTTAGGAATTTATACTATGCTCAAATTTTGACTGAAAGGTTAAAAATGTTCTTTTTGCGAAAGTTATTTTCTCAGGCTTACTGAGAAATCAGACAAGATTTGCAGGGATAATTTTCTTAAAACACATACATGTTTGTTTTGCTGAGGAAAATGATAGGATACCATAGCCCAGAGGGTATACTTTTCTTACTTGGACATAATTTTTTTGTTTGTTTGTTTTTGCTTTTTAAATCAAAATTTTAGAAGAAAATTTAAGCTTGTTTGTTTAAAATGGTAGCGAATTCCCCCTAGCAGTTATTTAAAATCTCTAAATGACGTTAGCTAAGCCAGACTCAGGGCCCAATAGCTCTTTAGATTTTAATGGTTGTAGACCCCTGTCCTATCCCATAACAGCTATTGTTGCCCCCACTCTTATTCCTTTAGCTCAAATAAATTCAATGAGGAGCTTTTTTGTAGCCATCTTCTAAAATCATTCTACAGACGGTTCCTCTCACTCTTCAGTTTCACAGGATATTTGCATGCACAGCCTATTTTACATAACTCTACAGAATCTCAATAAGCTGCAGATCTGGGTTTTGACTTGGCCTGTGACTTTCCAGTTGTTCCAGTTGTGACTTTCCAGTTGTTAATTCTCAGCCAGTTGTTGGTGAATATATCTTGTCTACATCTGCTTTTATTTTCTTTTTACACAGGGTGAAGGGCTCTTACTCTGATAAAGACTAAAATTCATTTTGGCTTCTACGAAGGTGTGATGGTCATCTGGCAGTAAATAAACCTCAAACCATGACAGGTCCACCTTCATGCTTCACAGTAGGAACCTTTGTATGTATTATTCTGGTGTTCAGATGTATTTAGTTTAGATTTATTTGTCCAAAGGACATATTTCCAGGGATCATGGTGTTTTTCTGTTTTGGAAACTGTGTTCTATTACCTTACTTGTATAGCCTGTTCGCAGATGTTTTAATTACGCCCATCTTTCAACAACTATCTCTTATTTCAAATGTTCTTAGAGACAACTTTAAATTTCTTAGGCTAATCTTTCTAGTAGCTTCACACTGCTTTTTTAAATCACCCAGTGGTATTAACTACTCTCACTACTGCAGTCAGGAGAACAACAAACATATCTATTGTACAAACTAGGAAAATTTTATTGAATTTCCTTAGAAACGGTGTCCAAAATATGAACCATAATCATAATCACTTTATGTAATCATAGCCATTTCAACAGGGATAATTCAACGGTTCACTAATTTAATAGCTCTGGCTTTTTATTTTACAAAAAGTATTAATTTTTTTAATTTGTACAGCTATTCTGCTAAATATGAAAAACAATTTTTTTTCAAGTGCCAACCTAAAGTAAGCTTTAAAGCAATCACAACCTCCATGAAGCAAATCAACAACTCAAA